CACGTAGTTGACCATGGTTCGAGTCCCGGACCTGGTGGCTTAAACTCACGCCGGGCGCGTGTGCGTGCGTGCCCAAGATCCCAAGAGGAGAACAGAGGAGAAGGGATTGCGGTGTGACCATCCTCCCTGGGGGGTGATTTCTCGCTTTCTATCTGTCTCTCTGTCTCTCTGTCTGTCTGGCGAGCGCACGCACCCTATAGCAAAAACCTCTCCAAAAAAATAAATAAAATTAGCTAAAGGGCATGTGCACTTGCTAGACAGAGACAGAGAAGCCACTCCGGAGCTATGCCCACACTGTAGTCCCTTCTCCGTTCTTCTCCTGGAGGGGGCGCACAGAGCACATGAGCCCCATGTATTTTTTTCAAGCCACTGATGCAGTCAGAGACAGAGAGACAGAAAGCGAGAAATCACCTCCCAGGGGGGATGGCCACGCCGCAAACCCTTCTTCTCCATTCTCCTCTTGGGATCTTGGGCACGCACGCACACGTGCCCAGTGTGAGTTTAAGCCACCGCATCCGGGATGCGAACCGTGGTCGACTACATGGGAGTCCAGCGACATAGCTGCTGGTCCTGTGTAAGTCCTGACGAGCCGCGTAGGTACACTGACACGGAAGTATGTGCGCACTCCCTCACGCTCTTGCAGCTCAGACTTGGATGGTTCTGCGGGGTTGGCTCTAATGCAGTCTGTGAACCGTCTGCGAAAACCATCTGTCCAGCATGGTGGTAACCTGACCAGGGTGCGGCAGCGCTCCTCTGCCAGGGGCAGCTTCTGCCCCGGGCACCTCTGCAGGCCGCAGGGTCCGACCTGGAGAAGCCGCTGTGTGCGGGACCGCGGTCTCTGCCTGGATTCGAGGCTTGCCCGAGCGGGAGCTGGCCCTCTTTTCCCATGATTCTGCCCCTGAGGGCACGGTGCCTGGGAGGCGGCGCAGGCCCTGGGGCTGCTGTGTGTCAGTCGCAGTGCCCTCGGACCTCCCGTAAGCTCTTCCAGACCAGTGTCCCGGCTAGGGTGGTGCAGACACAGTTAGCAGCTGCCGAGTCAATGGAGGGTCCAGAGTGCGCCGGCCTCAGGCAGTGTCACAGCAGCCGTCCCCGTCCTGGGTTTCCCGGTAGGACAGGCTGTGTTTTCACTCCTTGGAGCTCCTTGACCCCTGCGTGTCCCTGTACTGTGGAGTCGGTGTGGCTGGTGCGCCCCAGCTCCAGCTCCAGCGCCACCTCATCTCTGGCCCCCGGGCCACCTCGGCTGTGTCTGGTGTGCACACTCTGCTCGACTCCAAGCCGAAAGGCCGTGTGGGGGCTCTCTGCATAGGGAGAGTCTGTTAGTCGCGGGGGTGCAGAGCCCAAGGGCCAATGGAGGTCCAGCCCTCACTTTTGTTTTTATAATTTGCCAGGGGCATGAGTGCTCACTGGGGAGAGAGAGCACCCTGTGGGGCCGGTCACGCCCCAGTCCCTCCTCGTCTCCCCTGGTCTTGGGGTCTCAGGCACACATGCACACATGCCGGCGTGGTTCTCAAGCCACAGGGGCCAGGACTGCCACGCAGCCGGCCACATGGGGCCCACTGCCTCAGCCACCGTGTCAGTGGCTGGCCCAGCACGCTGTCTTCTTTCTTCTGGTCAAAAAGACTTGCCCCACATTTTGCAGGGGACTTACACTGGCGTTCTCACTTCCACATGCCACCTTTGTGACATGCCCTTAGCGTGCTTTTAAAATGCGCTATCGTTGTCGCTTGAATTCTGGCTTAAAAACACAGCCGGGCCGGAGCCGGGCCGGAGCCGGGCCGGAGCCGGGCCGGAGCTGTGCTCTCCAGGGGCAGCCTTTGTACTAGTTAGCCATGCGCTCTGGGCAGTGCTGACGCGGCAGACGGAAACGAGCTCACGGTGATCTCTGAAACAGGAAACGTCTACTTCGACCTGCAGGCGAGAGGAGACAAGTACGGCAAGCTGGTCGGCGTGGCCCCCGGTCCCGGCGGAGAGCCAGGTGTGTGACCGCGTTCAGCCCTGTGGGCCCCGGACCCCCCCAGGTTCTGCAGAGGGGAGGCTGGAACTGAGGACCCCCACTTGCCCAGACATGGCCACGTGCTCATCACAGCCATGTTTTCTGTTTAGTTCGGGTCCTGCGAGTGCGTAGCTGGTCGAGTGTAAAGTTCAGCCAGCCAGCGACGCGTCTTCCAACCCCTGCCCCGGAGATGGTTCTGATCGCCTGTGTCCTGGGGTTTCCACACGTGTGTGAACACGCATACATGGGGCATCCGATTGCAGTCATGTCAGATTCCCAGTATCGTATGTCACAGGTTAAATTCTCAACATACTTGACTCTTTCTTTGTCCTCTGCTGAAAGTCGGTGGGTTAAAATCATCTTTATGGAACAGAAATTCTAAGTCCATAGAAGACTTAGTATTGGGAGGCCAGGCAGGCCCACTGTGCTTTCTGGACTCGCAGCCTCCCTGGGGTGCCCCACCCTGGCAGGTTTCAGGTACGCGTGTCTGGGAGGCCCCCTGACTGGTGGGAAAGGGGAGCTGGACGGGGACGTGCCAGCTGTCCCCCACCACTCAGCAGGGGCCACTGCAGGTGCGTGGGTGCTGCCGTGGGGCTGCTCCCTGACTCCCGCGTGTCCTCAGCAGCTGACTCGGACAAACGCCAGCCCAGTGACTTCGCCCTCTGGAAGGCAGCTAAGCCCCGGGAGGTGTGCTGGCCCTCCCCATGGGGCGCGGGGCGACCGGGCTGGCACATCGAGTGCTCCACCATCGCAAGGTAAGGCCCTGGGGCTGTCAGGGACCCAGGCCGGGCCTGGCCAGGTGGCAGGGGGGTGCCAACGGGGGCTGGCCACTTGGGGGGTTTCTGCTGCAGTGGGTGCAGCCTCAGGACATCCCCCCACCTGACCGCCCGCTCAGCAGCCTGACCAGGACCCGGCTTCCCATCTAACTCACGGGCGGGACAAGTGGGTGCCTGACAGGAGCCTGCGGTCACCTACATGCGATGCGAGAGGGGCAACTTTGCTGTCAGGACGGACGGGAGGGTCCTGGGGGAGCTCTTGTACCAACCAAGGACCTGTGAGTGCAGGGGGTTCCCGGAGACAGTCCTGGCGTGTGCGTGGCCTGCGATCGAGCGGCGGTGGGAAGGCTGAGGGGAGGGTCAGGAGCCGAGACAGGAGCTGCCACTGCCCCGGATCAGAACCATCCTCAGGTGGTGGGGTGGGCCGCCCGGCAACTGCATTGTTGAAACTGCCAGGACAGGAGGCCACACTGGTTCTGTTCCCGCCCCTGAGGGGCACAGGGCATTGTATGTCAGACTGGAGACATTAGAGTCTCCAGGTCCTGTCGCCCTGACGTCGACCATGCCCGCTGTGTGCCTTCCGGTGGGAGGAGAAGGTCCTGTGAGTGGTGGCGTGTCACCTTCGACCTTCCTTTCCGTGGTCTGATCCCAGACCTGGCTGGTTTTGGGCTCTGAGTTGCTTCACCACTTCTGCCAGATGGGAGCTGCGTCTCCTGCCCCATCCCATCTATGTACCCCCTGGAAGGGTCGTCTACCCAACCTGCTCCGCCTCCCCCAGTGCCGCAGCAACGTGTCTGTGACCCCGCCAGCTGTGGCCAGTGTTTCCTGCCGGATCAGGCTCCATGTGAGCATGACACGTGCGTCTCACTTCCACCGGAACAAGCCCGTGAGTTGGCGTCCCCCAGCGTCCTTCCGTAACTGCTTAGGTGCTCCGAATGCAGGGCCCACCAGACGCCCGTGGGAGAACCGTGTGTGGATGTCGGAAGTGTCTTGCACTGAAAGAGGCTCGTGCTTTAACTCGTTTTCACAGACGCCGAGGTCTCTGCTTGGTTGCTGGCTCCGCAGGCTGGGGCGTCAGTCGGGCAGTAGAAGGGGTTTGTTTTCAGTCTCTAAAGCAGACAGGGAATGCAGCCAAGTTCCAGGTGTGAGGCCCGCGTCAAATACTTCCTCCTTGTTAAAACCCAAGGAGTTGGCCGCTACTCCAGCTCGGCCTTCCTGTATTTTAAATGGGCCTGATATTTTAAAAATTATTTAATGTGTTTGTTTTAATTTGACCAGAGAGGGACAGAGTGAGAGAGAGGCAAAGTGAGAAAGCAAGCCACCAGGTCTGGGACTTGAACAGCGTTGAGCCACGTGGGAGTCCAGCCCCCCATCCACCACGCCACCTGCTGGCCCCTAAATGGGCCTGGTACGGAGATGGGAATTGAGCCCGCCGTAACGGACAGCCGTGACGGTTCCGCAGTTCTGCTTTATGAAGTATGAGTGTTATCGTGTTTCAGATTGGTTAAAAAACCAGACTCACTGAACAGAAGTGAGGTCTTGGCCCCCACCTGGCCCACGCACTGTCTCCTTCAGTGTTAGGGTTTGGCCGGCCGTTAGGCTCCGGGAAACCATCGCCAGCGATGTGCAGTAACGCCCGCCCAGCGGTCACTCAGCGTGTTCTGTGACACCGGTCGTCCCAGGCGTGCCCGCCTCCCTGGTGCAGGCTGCGGGCGGGAGCTGAGCCAGATGAGCACCTCTGGGGACAGCCTTCGACCCAGCATCGTCCTCGTGTGCCCCTCCCCCCGCCAGCACTCTTTGCAGGCCCAGCTGAGCCTGGGTTTCGGACCACGAGGAACGGGTGCCTCGCGGAGCTGAGCTGCCCCAGAGCCTGCTCCTGGCTCTGCCATGTGACTTACACAGACGGAGCCTCAGGGCTCTGTCGTCCCGCCCTCGTTCAGGAAGGGAAACGGCTAAACCCCAGCTACTGAAAGGCAGGAAGGTAATTTTGTAGGGTTTTGAGAACCAGGTACTCGATCCAGAGCAGAGAAGAGACGTGCCTGGACTGGAGTGAAAGTCCGAGTCAGGTCCGTGAGGCAGTGAGGGCAGGAGCTTGGTCAGGTCAGGCGGTTGGTCTGCAGGTGAGCCCGTGGGCCTGCCGCGTGTGGAAGGGGGCGGCAGCTGCGTTCCGGGCGCCCTGTGCGAGTTGCTGTGTCCGTGTGTCTTGCAGCACGGTGTTTGGGAGTCAGCTGGATATCCACTCGGGCGGCATAGACCTGGCCTTCCCTCACCACGAGAACGAGATCGCGCAGTGCGAGGCCTTCCACGGGTGCGAGCAGTGGGGGAACTACTTCCTGCATTCCGGTGAGCGGCTGCTGTCGTCGTGGAAGGGCTGCTCCATCGGCCGCCAGGTCGCAGTCCAGGGACGCGTTTCCCCCAGAGGGTGGTCACTGTTCCATCGCCAGAGGGTGTGTGCGCCCACCAGACCAGACAGCTCTCGCTGCAGTCCCTTCTGCGTTTCTCCATCCTGTCGGGATTCTGGCACACATGCCTGACGTGTTCTTCAAGCCACCAAGGCAGGATTTGAGCCGTGGTTGGCCATGCGGGAATCCAGCTCCCTTAAGCACCAGGCTGTATTTCTGTGGATTGGAATGAAGTGTAGTTTTTGGAACTGATACAATGTGGAGCGTGGTCTCCTGTGCTGTCCGTATCTGCTTCTTTCACATACAGATACTGGAAAGAATTTCAGGCCAGCAGGTGGGTGGAGGTTAAGGCACTGAATCCCACATGGCCAACCGTGCAGTTCAAGTCCCAGATCTGCCTGCTTCAAAGTCAACCAGGTGCATGTGTATGCATGTTAAAAATCCCGAGAGAAGAGTGGAGGAGAAGGGATTATGGTGTGGCCAACCCTCCTGGGGGGCAGGGTATGAGTTCTCACTTTCCCTCTCGGTCTCTCTCTGGCAAGTGCATGTATCATATAGTAGAAGCTAAAATTAAAAAACAAAAACAAAGCTAAGAAAAAGAAGGAATTTCACGCAGTGTGATGTAATAGTACTTATGATGTGCCCCTCGAGCACAGGTACTGTCCCCAGGCACACGTGGTCAAGGTGCTGGATTGCTACGTGGCTGACCGTGGTTTGAGTCCTGGACCTGGCAGCTTGAAAATCAGGCTGGCGCAGGTGCATGCCTGCCCAGAATCCCACGAGGAGACTGGAGGACAAAGGATTGTGGCATGGACATGCCCCCTTGGGGGTGATTGCTCACTTTCCCTCTCAGCACACACACCCTGTGACAAAAGCCTTAGAGAACTGAGTAAATAAAAGTGGACTTGAGGTGCGATGTCCTGAGATAAGCGTGGCTGGGGGTTCTCTTCCTTACGCAGGACAAGCCACGTGTCCCGGTTGGGATAAAGGTCCTGAGCTGGGATTAGCTGTTTCCTTTTTTTGCACGGATTTTTACCTTAGGGTACACATGCTCACTGCAGAGACAGACAGAGAGACAGAAAGCGAGACCTCACCCCACCTCCACCCAGGGGGATCACAGCTAGTGGTGGTGGTGATAGGGCAGGGTGCTGCGGCGGCCACGGCTGAGCCCAGGAAAGGACAGCACCTTTTCTTTTGTTCTTTTCCTGTTTTATTTATTTATTTGTTTGTTTATTTATTTATCTTTTTTCCCCCTCCTTTTTTTCCTTTCTTTCTTTTATTTTCCCTCTTTTTTTGGAGAAGTTTTTACTATAGGGCGCGTGCGCTTGCCAGACAGAGAGTCAGAAAGCGAGAAATCACCCCCCAGGGGGGCTGGCCACTCCGCAGTCCCTTCTCCTTTCTCCTCTCGGGATCCTGGGCACACACGCACACGTGCCCTGTGTGAGTTAAAGCCACCGTGTCCGGGACTTGAACCATGGTCGACTACATGGGAGTCCAGTGACATAGCCATTACGCCAACTGCTGTTCCCAAGGACAGCACCTTTTCTGTAAGTCCCTGAGTTGAAGCCTGGCATGGCTCATCATGGTGGTGCTCGCTGAGAGGCCGTCCACGTCTAGGCTCGGTGTGCAGGGGCTCACACACAGAGGCCGCCCCACCCGGGGTGCTCAGATGGAAGCACCTTTCTCCGAGCTCGCCCCGGGAGTCAGGGCCAGTGGGGGCCCAGCCCTCTGCAAGCCCACTCGTTTCCCTGATGCCCCAGGAGTCTCAGAGGGGCTGGGCCACTGGAGGATGCGGGAGCCTGGTCGCCAGGGCTTCGTGCTGGTGCATCGTAGCAGCGAGAATGCTGTGTTGGCCAGTGATGTTGCTTGCAGCTGGACGCCCCGAGCAGCAGAGCAGTGTCCGCCACACTCTCGCCTTCTCTGGCTTGTGTGGGAGGGCAGATGCACCCTGCTAGGAGCAGCGGCCCTGCCGGGCTCTCGGGGGCCTGGCTGCCCTAGTCAGGCAGCCCCACACTTCAGATCACATGCAAGATGTCCCCATCTTGGGCCTGAGGACTTGGATCCGTGTCCTTGGGGAGCAGACGTGTGCAGATCCCGCCTGTGGTGTCCGAGGCCTGTGTTGGGAGCAGAGCGACCTGTCTTTGTCTCAGACCAGAACGATCCACCGCTGTCTGCTGGCTGCAGACACGCCCGTCTGTCGGCTCGTTTCCTTGAGCGGGCCACGCTGTTGGCAGCCCAAGAAATGCAGGGTGCCTGTCAGCAGTCGGCCCTCGGGATGGCCGGGTGGCTGTGCAGTGCTGACCCTCGACGTCGGCCCTGCCAGCTCTCGGCCACTGGGCGTCGAGAAGGCAGCGGGTCAGGGCCATTCTCCCTGAAGGGACAGGGAAGGGTTGTCACTGTCCGACGTGCACCACCTGTCACGAAGTTACGCCTGGGGACCCCACTCATGCCAGGTCGGTCTCGTCCTGGAGGTCAGTGGCGGTTACAACAGGGGAGCGCCTGCCTCTGCACCAGTGGGCAGGAGGCGGCCCTGAGTGGCCAGGGGGCGCTCGCGGTGGCGCGTGGGCCGATGGCATGGCGGCTCCCCCACAGAAGGGAAGAGCACGCGGCTCTGGGGCTGGTTCGTGGCCCGGGAGTCCTGCCTCCCGGTTCCCAGACAGCACCTCTGACCATGCCCCCTCGTGGTGCTGCGTGGGGCCTGTTTTGTGAGGGCACGGGCCCGTTCTGTGGGCTCTCCATATCCTTGTCCACTCACTCTTTCTCTTTTCCAAAGAATTGTTTATTTGGGACTACCGGATGGTGTAATGGTTATGTCTCTGGACTCCCACGTAGTCAACCGAGGATCAAACCCTGACCGGAGGGCACGCATGTGTATGTGTATGTATGTGTGCTCAAAATCCCAGGAGGAGAGTGGAGAAGGGCTTGTGGCATGGCCATCCTCCCTGGGTGAGATTTCTTGCTTTCTGTCTCCGTGTCTCTCTCTCTTCCCAGTGAGCGCATGTGCCCTATAGCAAAAATCTCTCTTAAAAGGTATTTAATTTTATTTATGATTACATTTTAATTTGACGAGAGAGACAGGAGGGGGAGTGAGAAAGCAAACCACCAGGTCTAGGACTCAAACCAAGGTCAGCCACATGGGAGTGTAGTTCCTTAACCACCACGCCACCTGTCAGCCTGCTGTGCGCTCCCAAAGGCCTGCCTCCCGACGTGGTCAGCTGGGGCCAGATGCTGGCGAGTGACTGGGGAGCGCGGGAACCTTGCGGCCAGAGCAGACACCGCCATCTTCCAGATGCGGTCCGTTTTTAGGTTTTAGTCATTGCTCTCGTGTGCGTGTGACGCGTTATGTAGATTATGTGTTCGAGGCGGTGCTTCATTTTGCAGGCCCCAGTTCTCTTAGTTTTCAGAATTGGCCGCGGAGCACGCTCTCATTTGCAGTGTCGGGAGAAGAGGAAGGATCTTGTTCTTAAGCAGAAGGCCTTCTAGCAGGGTGGCCTCGTGAAAACACCAGGTTTAGACATTCCGGGAGCGAGCTCGGGTTTTCCTGCCTCTCACACACGTGGGAAGTGAAATAAATCCAGGCCTTAGTTTCTCCTTCTGTGAGCCTGAGGGACAGCATCCCCGACAGGGTCTCGCAGCCGCAGCCACCCTCGGTGTCACTAGCCTGCTCCCGGGCCCGTGCCTGGCCGGCTTACCCAGGAGGCTCTCTGGTGCTAGGGCGCCATGTCTTACGCCGTGCCACTGTCAGGCCCCGAGCACCAAAGTCCTGGTAAGTTTGAAAGCAGCCACAACAGAAGATTGCATCCTCAGCCCCGCGAGCTAGACCCCGGAATTCCGGCAGCGTCAATGAGCTTGGTGCGGCCGTGCGCTTTGTCAGTGCGAGAGCGGCCATCGCGCCAGGGGCCTCCTGGATGCCATCAGCGTTTCTTTCTTTTTTAGAGGTTTTGCCCTAGGGGCACGTGTGCTGGGGTAGAGTACGGGGTGGGGGGAAGTCCCCTCCTTGGCGGACAGCCACACTGCAATCCTTTCTCCATTCTCCTCCCAGAATCTTGGGCACACACACATACCCCCGGTATGAATTTCAAGCCACTGGGTCCAGGACTCAAACCGCAGTCAGCCATGTGGGAGTCCAGACACGTAACTGCTATGCCATTCGTATCCTGGAGAGACAGTGAGAGGGAAAGTGAGGGGAATGGCCATGCTGCAGTCCCTTCTCCATTCTCCTGGGACTTGGGTGACGCATGCACACGTGACCAGCGTGAGCTTCAAGCTGTCTGAGACTCAGACCATAGTCAGCGTGTGGGAGTCCAGCACCATCTCCACCACGCCGCCGGAATCGGCGTTTCTGGATTGCAGGGAAGGGGAGTGGAGCATGAGCTGTCACTGTCAGTGTCATGGTCGTCGCTCTCGTCCAGTTCTGAGTCAGCCTGGGCCCTCTTCGTACCCCTGGAGCAGGGCTGAGTGTGCCTGCAGCCTGGGACAGGCCTGCACGGCCACATCGTCCTGGAGGGCCAGGCTATGTCATGGGCTGCCACAGGCGCGTGCGTGTTACGGGGTGCTGGGTTCTAAAGTGTGTCGGTGAGCCGCGAGCCCCTGCAGGCCCGCTGCCTGCCCCGAGCCTGCGGAAGGAGAGGCACCTGCTCCGGCCTTCCCGAGCCCAGGAGGCTCTCTGGACCAGTCCTGAAGGAGCACTTCTGTTTCCATTTCAGGGCATTTGCATGTGAAAGGCAGCAACGAGAAGATGTCCAAGTCCTTAAAAAACTTCATCACCGTCAAGGTAGCCCGCCTTGGGCCGGGGAGCCCTCCGAGCCGGGAGTCCTCTGCACCCCTGCCCACCCTCTCTCTCCTGGCCTCAGCTCACAGGGTGGAGGGCCTTCTACGTCTCCTGTTCTCGTTTCAAACCCCCTGCTCTAGCTTCTGGGCCCATGTCAGGGTGGCCTTGCCCTCTCGGAATCTCGAGAGCCGCACCTCTCCCTATCCCTCCCATGGCGGCTCCTCTCTCAGCCCACGCACCCCCGTGGCGTTGGCTGCTTCCCCGCCCGTATGGCTGGAGCTGGCTCCTTACCGCTTTGGAAGGTCCTCGTGCTGTGGGGGGACGATGCAGTGGGGGTTCCCGACTGGGTGAGAACGAGTGGACAACAGTTCGATCGAGGCCTTCCTTGGTTTTGGGCTTGTCTTCAAAGCCTCTTCTATTTTAATAGAAACAAACCGAGCAGGGCCCGGTGCTGGGAGGTGCACCAGATAATGCTGCTCTGCGACTTGGCGGGCCGAGGCCACTCAGGAGGCCCAGGCTCGATTTCCTGCCCACCCTCAGTGCCAGGCATGGTGGTGCGCTCCTGGACTCCCAGTGACTCAGCTTGAAGCAGGACTGGGGCGTAGCAAGAGCCTTTCTAAGAAGTCAGCCGACCAAGGGTAGCAACCAGACCTCCGCGCCTAGGTACCTGGCCACGAGGGCTGTTCTCGTCAGGTTTAACACCAGCCGAAGGGCACTCCTTACAAAGTGACTTTCGCGTTCTCTTCTTTAAAGTGGCTGGAGGGCATGCGTACCCCCAGAGTCAGAGGAGGAGGGACAGAGCACCCCATGGGGCACGTCGCACTGCAAGCCCTCCACCTCTCCCTCCTGGCGGGGTTCGGGCCACGTACACCTGGCGTGTTTCTCAGGCTGGGTCCAGGACTCAGACTACG